ATTTATTTCCAGAACATGATGCATGATGGGATACACTAAGACTCGAATAGCGCTCCGGAGCGGTATTCGAGATAGTATGGATTTAGTGTGCGTTAAGACCTTGGACAGTCTTGCGCACTTACTTCCTGTCGCGCGCGCACACTCTCAAGTGGCCAAGACCGCAAGTGTGGGTATTTGGACAAGGCAAAACTCACCAGCCGTGCGACGTAACGCAGGACTTTGTTGTCGTTCTCCAGCAGTTTGATCACGTCTTTCTTGGGCGGTTCAGGAATCAGGGACAGGCAGTTCTGTAACGAGTCCTCCAGCGAACCGAAGCCGTTATACGGAGGAATCACCTGCGGTACAAATAGGGTACAAAATAAGCTTTTAGTTTCTTTTTCAGTAAATCAAAATGGAGTTTTATATATTAACATTAAAAATGTATTTAAAATGTAACACTTGCAGGCAGTTCTGTAACGAGTCCTCCAGCGAACCGAAGCCGTTATAAGGAGGAATCACCTGCGGTACAAATAGGGTACAAAATAAGCTTTTAGTTTCTTTTTCAGTAAATCAAAATGGAGTTTTATATATTAACATTAAAAATGTATTTAAAATGTAACACTTAGGCCTATTTTATATAAGCATTGCCATTTTTCCAACCCTGCTAGTAACATTTGGAACATTTAGTTATTTTCTAGAAATTAACATTTAAAAAGATTAAATAATAACATTCGTTATTAACATTTAAAAATGTTATTGATAATGAAACATTTATTTTATATAAGGCTTGCCATTCCCCCCCTCCAACCCTGTTAGTAAAATTTGAAACATTTGGTTATTTTCTAGAAATTAACTAAAAAAAGAATTAAAATAATAATAATAATTGTTATTAACATTAAAAATGTATTAACATGTAACATTTATTTTAGAAGGCTTGCAATTTTTCTAGAAATTAACTAAAACATTAAAATTCATAACAGTAAAAATGTATAATAATATAATATTTGTGATTACTGAGTAAGATTTTTTTTTTTTATTGTTTTAATTCAGACAGATTTCGCTCTTGTAAAGCTGAGTATGAATAAATGGTGCATTTCTACGATGGCAGCATCACTAACTAAACACATTTGCGTGATGCTTCATTCACACCACAACATAAAACATTTCTAGAGAACATAAGTGTACCCTATATTTGTGGAAAGTGGAAGATAGATCACTTATAATAATGTACCATTTGCATACAACTGTACATAACATTCATTTTTAACTAAGATGAGATGTGATATTAGCCCAATTAACAGTACGTATCTGACCCTCTTGATGTCTTGCTGTGTTCTGGTGTCTACAGTAAGTGGTTTGAGCAAGATGTCGGGGTGATTCTGTTCATAATATTTCCTGGTGAAGTCGTCACAGTCATACAGCAGGAAGCGCCTCCCCATCAGCGTGACCTCCTCACCAACCCTGAAGTCTTCAGGAGAGAAGTACTCTTTCACGTCTTGTGGATAAACTTCCAGAACACAGGTGGGGAACGGCTCTGCGTCGAGAAACAGAGAGAAGTTGAAGGCTTCTGGGTAAATATATTGATGATTATGTCCTTTGATTATACTCAAATTAAATATAAATGTAGTCTATGGGGGACCAAACCTGAAGAAATGAAAAATAAATAAATATATTAAAGGGGGTCATATGATGTTGCTAAAAAGAACATTATGTTGTGCATTTGGTGTAAAGAACTGTGTTTATGCGGTTTAAGATTTAAAAAAACACATTATTTTTCACATACTGTACATTATTGTTTCTCCTCTATGCCCCGCCTTTCTGAAGCGAGTCGATTTTTACAAAGCTCATCGCTCTGAAAAGCGAGGTGTGCTCTGATTGGCCAGCTATCCAGTGCGTTGTGATTGGCTGAATACCTCAAGCCTGTGACGGAAATGTTACGCCCCTTACCATACTGTGATGCCGTGTCCCAGCCGGAGCGAAGAGACAAAAACATTAAAACCCATTACAAACTAGGCATTTGTTGCATCCAGTGGGGACATAATTACGGATTATAATAACTTATACTGTCTTTTTACACGTTGAGCTGCGTATCGCGCTTCATAAACATAAAACCATGTCTGCATTTGTGATCGGAGAAATGACAAACAAGCGCTACTCTACACTGCTCAAAACTCGCGTTTGAATCATCAGTGGCAAATTCTTTAAATATAAAAACGTACTTACAGTCTGTGAGTCAGAAGCGCCAGACTGTCCTTGCAAAGTTGGAACTGCCCCACTTTATAGAAACGGCCTTTGAGCACAGACCCATTGTAGGCTAACGTTACTCTGCAGCATCAGGAAACGGTCCTCCATAAAATGCGCTGCACACATCTGAATATTTGGGTTGAAGTGTTCTGGAACAGTGTTGTAAATACAACTTAACCACTGATTTGTAGTTGTGTCCTCTTTTGGAAGACCAAACAAAGTAGTTTCGCTTTCACAAGGAAACACAGCGTCACACACGGCGGGCTTGAGTGAGCAGCGGCGGGCGGGCTTGAGAACGGCTCGGCCGGCGGATTCGACGAAGGAGCGGCCGGCGGGCTTGCGGCAACCACTTGTGACGACTCCGGGCTGGACTCTGCTTCGTCCACGGTGAAAGCCGATCCAGCGATCCACAGCGCAAAGTTGTTGTTTTTCCTCAGCAACCAGCACGGATCAGCTCCAGGCATGACGAAGCGGATATCGTCCTCTTTTGGAAGGCCAAGCAAAGTAGTTTCACTTTCACAACGAAACACAGCGCCTTCACGACATGGCGGCGGCAACAATACTACAGCGAGAATAAAAGTTACGCCTTCTTTCTTTGCATGAACATTTGTGGGGCAAATCTTCCCACACAGTGACGTGGATATGTGGGGGCGTGTTTAAACAAGGCGTTTTAGGTAGGCGTGGTTGACTCTTAACTTTGATAAAGAATATCTCTTTGGATTTGAGACTTTAGTCTTTGCAACTTCAGGGATCTTATCTATTCACGAACAGCTTGTAACACTCCAAAGAGAAAGGAAAATTTGAAATGGCATCATATGAACCCTTTAATAGGAAAATAAGTATTACTTTGGATCAAATAAATGCAGGCTTGGTGAGCAGAAGAGACTTTAAAAATCGTTAACGTTAAAAATCTTACTGTTCAAAACCTTTTGACTGGTACTGTATATAAAAATGTATCTGTTTACCTGCATGTCATCATTTGATCATTGACCAAATCAGAGAACTGTGAATATGCTAATGTGCTGTCAAATGATTGAAATATGAACTATTATTAAGTAAATATTTTATGTCTAAGGGGTTTGGCTGACAAAAGTTTGGGATCCCCTGATTTAGTTTGTCCAAGCTTCTATAAACACAAAAAGCAACCAAATTGAAGCAGTTTGTTTTCTCAGTGTTGAAATCTGTGTGTTTATGATCTCACCGCAGGTTGATTTGATGTGTTTGGGAATCTTCTGTCTGCTGAGCAGCACTGGGAACGGGTCCCGGCCGCTGTTGGCCTCGTGATGTTCACAGATGTCAACAGAATCATCCACCAGATAGTAATGCAGCGTTACGGGCCGTTTCTCCCCATAGAGAGAGTCCGTGTCGTCCCAGAGCGCATAGTAACGCAGCACCTGGAGACAGCAGAGAAATGATGAGTGAGAAAGAATGTATTAATTTGTGTGTAAACATACAGGAGTGTGTGTGTGTGTGTGTGTGTGAGAGAGTACCTGTCGATCCAGGGCGAGGAAGCGCTCCAGCTGATGGTTGTGCTCGTAGGGTATAATGTGGGTTTGTTGTGCTTGAGCGCGATGGATGGTGTACGGATCACTGGGAATGGACTCCGCCTCGTTTAACACTATTCCCTGACTCTCCATGAAGTCCTACACACACACACACACTCAGTCAAAACAAACCCCTTATAAGCAGCAGTCCAGTAGAGTCTGTGTGTGTGTGTACCTGTGTGAAGGGATCACAGTGTGTTATCCTGAAGACCGTTCCAAACAAACTCATGTCCATCCCGACGTTGAGGTCTTTCCAGTGGTACAGACCTCCATGCTGGTTTTTGGTCAGCCTCTGACGTTTGATCAGCTTTCCCTGAGGAATTCCAGAGTTTTCCACCGGTGGCTCGGTCACACACATGCTGTCGTCCTCCAGGTGATAATAGATCACCACCGGACGAATGCGGAAGTGCTCAGCTGGGGAGTGCAACACTTCCTGCCAGAAGTAACCGTAGAAACGCAGCACCTGAAGGTCAAAGGGTAAAGGTGAGAGGTTGGTTCTGATTCAATGAGATAGATAGAGAGAGAGAGAGAGAGAAACATATGGATAAAGAGACAGATAGAATGAAAGATTGATGGATAGACAGAATGATAGTTCAATAGATATATAGATAGAGACAGATAAAATGAATAAACAGAATGATAGATTGGTGGATAGACAGAATGATAGAGACATAATGATAGAATGATAGAGAGACAGACAGATAGATTGACAGAGAATGATAGACAGAATGCTACATCAATAGATGCATTAATAGAAATAGATTCATAGAGACAATTATAGACAGAACAATAGATAGATATAGGTAGATAGACAGAGACAGACAGATAGATAGATTTTTGGATAGACAGACAGATAGATAGATAGATAGATAGACAGACAGACTGCAAGATCAATGGATAGATAAGACAGATGCATAGATAGAAACAGTTTAGATAGACAAACAGACAAATAGATCGATAGAGAGAGATAGAACGAACGCTAGATCAATGGATATATAAGATAGATAGACAGAAAGACAGAAATAGATTGATAGAGATAGAATGACAGAACGAACGCTATATCAATAGATAGATAGAAAGATAGATAATACATAGATAGACAAAAATAGATTACAGACATAATGCTAGATCGATGGATAGACAGACAGATAAGATAAATAGAAAGATAGACAGACAGAAATAGGCTGATAGAAATAGAATGATAGACAGAACGCTAGATCAATGGACAGACAGATAGATAGATAGATGACAGACAGATAGATAGATAGATGACAGACAGATAGCTAGATAGACAAATAGATAGATAGATGACAGACAGACAGATAGATAGATGACAGACAGACAGATAGATAGATAGATAGACAGACAGACAGACAGACAGACAGACAGACAGACAGATAGATACTTTTCACCTTCTTGTCGTAAGCAGCGTGTGCCGGGATGAAGTCTAGCGGCGGGGGTCGGTGTGTGTCGGTCCCGTAGGTCAGGTTCGGGATGTCTCTGATCAGCTGGTTGCTCTCGCTGTGACTGATGTTCACCGACAGCAGCGGATCTTGTCCGGTACCGACCGCGGGCCGCCGGGGCAGAGCATAACCGTTCTTAAAATCCAGAGTCTGAGCTCTGTGGAAAGCGGATTTCTGGATCACAGCACACAGAAATTATTTAAAATAATATAATATCATTATATTTCATAATATGTCAAATTAATTGGTTAATTCGCAGCAAAAATCTAAAATGTGCTTTAAAAACATTTCTGAAGAGTTAATAATGCAGATTTGTGTTACAAAAAGCATGTGGTAAAACAACTAAGTTAATATTAAATTCAAAAAGAAGATGAACGGGGCCTAAGTTACAGGTTAATGTTTCTCACCGTTAAATCCCGAAATGAGTTTCCTGGCAGGAAAGGAAGCCCGTGTCCTGTATTTATAGACATTACGGTTTATTACCCTAATCTAGAATCTAAATAATTTAAAGGTTTATGAAAATAAAATAAGTTACGTTGTTCTCTCACGAGACTGCTGTGCTTCCCTGAGGAGGTTTATTTATAGCGGTCTCCACGGAGACCACAAACACTGGCGGTTGTCATGGCGATGTAAACAATTCCTTTCACGTGTCTTGTGGATCAATTCACCAACAGGCGGCGCTACACGTTCAGTTTATTCAATGCAGTTTATTTAATGCTCCATAACAACCAAAACCAAACCTCCCACAGCTCCTGCTCTGCGCACGCGCTGCTGATACTCCTATAAAAGCCATGCTGAAATATCACTGGAAATGTAAGTTTGAGAGCTCTTACAACACAAACATCCTGCTGTTTCACAAACAAACATTCACATGCATACAAATGTCGAGTCACTTCATGTTTTGGCTTGCTTTGAAAAAAAAAAACTTAAATATGACATTAAATGATCTCTGTGTGGGTATGGGCTCTTAAAAATAAAGGCTTCAGGTACACTTCCTGCACTAGTAATACTTTGTTTGGCTAAAGGATCTCTGTGTGGCAATGGGCTCTTAAAAATAAAGGTTTCACACAGAGGTAGGAAACTACATGATAGGCTACTTCCCACAATAGTGACTCTTTACCAAACTTGTGTGACTGTGTATCAGCTTGGCCTATTATATTAACACTATTTTTTTAAAAGGCTGTTCTATTAAAGTTGGATATATTTTTAGAGATCTCTACTTTTAGGTATTGCTTAAAAATTGAGTAAGAATGTTAATGGATATAAATATATCAATACATTTTATTAAATGTTTCAATATATGTCATTAAATGTCTTAAATTTATTAATGGCCATTTCTATTAACATTTTCTATTAAAGGTGTTTATATATATATATATATATAACTATTCACCTGTAGTAACTTCTTAATTTCCGCAAAAACTTCTGTTATATATATAGCCAACTCAGGAACCTTATATAGCCACAATTAGTTCTTAATAAGAAGCAGCTCTTTGCTGAATATAATCACTATTGAAAACCTTTATTTTTAAGAATATAAAGTGTGTTATTTATGTTTTTGTATCATCAACATATATATATATATATATACCATTAAAGTTGTTATTTTTTTAATGCTTAACTTACTAATATTACTTTTGATAGATGATGATGATGTTGAAAGATGTTGGCTACTTTACTCAAACATTTAAAAATCACAATGCAATAAAATTTGAGTAAAGGTAAAATGTTAGACTATTCACCTATAGAAACATCTTAATGTGCACTAAGAAGTTCCATCTTTTACTGGTGTTTTTAAGAACCTGGAAACCAAAACACGGATCTGAAGAACCTAAACATCAAAGATGTTAAATCAAAAAAAATTATAATATTCATATAGCCAACTCAGAAACCTTATATAGCCATAAATAGTTCTTAATAAGAAGAATCTCTTTGCAGCACCATTGAAAACCTTTATTTTTAAGAATGGAAAGTATGGTTTCGTATCATTAACATTGATTCTGAGCCCTCATTATCATGTAACAGAAACACATTAACCACAGTTGTAACAATCAGAAAGCGCTGCATAAAGACATTGAGTGATTGGCTGTGTTGGCAGATGTGTCTTGCATCCTATAAGAACCTCTTTGAGGTCACGGTTGCATCTATGCATCTCATTTGTCTCTCATCCCCTTAAAGAATATATGATTATACACAGAGCACTTAGATTGCATCCCTGAGCAATCAGGCAAGCTTTGCCACAGTATAAAAAAATATTTCATCCAAAAAAAATAGTGGTATAAAAAGCTATTTAAATATCAAAATAGATTTCATAAAGGCTGAGATGATTTTACAGCATGTCTATATATAGCTAGCTATATATATATATATATATATATAATATCCAAAAATATTTGGATGCTTAAGTCACCCTTAAAAATGCACGAATGTCATTACATTTGATAATAAAATATCAAACCAAGTTGCATTTGTCTTTAAAGAAAGCACAGCATAAGCAGACGTTCAGCAAATCATCAAAAGAAGTCTGTTAGGTTTAAACGTATGATAAATAATTCAATGATTTAGTGTTAAAAATGAAAGAAAAAGGTAACACTTTACAATTAGGTCCAATTAACTAATTAACTACAAATGTGCAATACATTTGTTGCAGTATTTATTAACTTTTTTAACATTAATTGATAAAAAATACTGTTTATTTATGTTTATGGAAGCTTGTTTCCAGCATGGGATAATAAAATAAAAAAGATAATTACCACTGCTTATCTCACAATTCAGACTTTTTCTCTCAAGTCTGAAGGAAAAAAATAATAATTGAGATTTAAAGTCAGAACATTAAAGACATAAACTCCCAATTCTGAGAAAAAAGTCAGAATTGATAAAAAGTTGCAGTTGCTTTTCTCATGTTTCATTGACAACTGCAAGATATTAAATTGTGAGGAAAAAAGTCTGAATTTTGAGTTTACATCTTTCAAATACATTTTTTTTCCCAGAAACTTTTTTCAGAATTGTGAGCTAAAAAGTCACAATAATTTTTTTGATTTTATTCTGTGGTGGAGGGGGAAAATTGCAAAATGTAAAGAATTCTGAGAAAAGGGAATTACAAGATTTGATCATTTATTTAGAACTGCAAGAAAAATTGTGATTAAAAGAAAGAGAAAAAAAACACAAATTATCAGATTTTTTTTATCCCATGGCTGAAACAGGCTTGTATACCTCAGGTTTATATACAAACAGAACTTTTGATTTTACTAATGCTTTAAAAGTATTTTTTATTTGTTAGTTCATGTTAACTAATGTAGTACCTTGTTGTGAAGTGTTACCAAAAGATTCAATGTTGCATTGTGGATGAGATTATAGGTCATTAAGCAAAACCGATGCAGAAAAGTGAAGCTCCAGCATCATTTTCTTGCAGTCGCAGCTTGGTTTGTTATATTTGTTTCCTTATGCAATGACATTCAGATATTTATAAGTGTCCAAATATATTTTAGTCCCACTGTATACTGTATGTGTATTTGTCAGATCAAAGGCACTTAATTTGCTCAGGTCTCTCCCTACAGAAGGCGGTCTTCACTGCTTGACAGGCGGAGTGAAGGACCAATCACAGTGCTTAGAGCTTATCACGCCTCTCAGAGCTGCCTGTAGACTCCTTTCAACTGAACCACATCTCCCATGAGCCTTAGCTTCAGCTAAATTGGTTCAAATGTCTAACTTCAAGACACCAGGTAAGAATATTCCCAAATCTGACTTGTCAGCATTTGACCTTTCACCTCATGGATAAACTGCGCCTCAATGAAGAGCTTATTTCCACTGCAAATACGCCATTTAATGCCACACTAGGCGATGACTCCAGCTGCTTTAGTGTCCTGTTAGTAGCTTCCTGTCTGGATTTGTCCAATCGGAGGCGGCGCTCTAGTAGTAGCGATTCAGGCTGCGGGTTCCTGGGACGTCCGGCTGTCCGTTCATCCAGATTTCCCGTATGATGCGCTCTCTCTCCTCCAGTCGCTGCGCTCGCTCCAGCTCCTCCGCCGACGTGAAGACGTTTGTGTTGAGCGTGCGCTCGAAGCGCCGGTGCCGTCGGGCCGAGAGGTCCGAGCTCGAGTCCCAGTCTGAATCAGAGTCGCTGGTGTCGCTGTCGGAGTCCGCGGGTCTCGGACGCTTCTTAGCGACGCCGTGGCGAGGTTTACAGTCCGTACGGCAGGAAATCTGAACCACCAGCATGAAGAGCGTGAGGAACAGACCGGCACAGACGCCGCACATGAAATACAGCGCACAGCGCTCCGGGTGCTCTGGGATGGAGACACAAAACACACAACATGAAATCAAAGTGACCCATTTAATCTCTTAAAATTTATATTATGTTCCGGGTCAGTTTGAGCCGAATGCATTTTTGGGAAACACTGGTTAACACAGGATGTTTTCCTTGAGTATTTCTCACTCAGGGTCATGAACCTGCCTGCTAAGTTGTGGAATCTGCAGTACATATGTCATTTTAGTACGATGGTGATGTTAGCGGGTAAATTCGACCTGTAAATTTCATGGTTAAAATGGGTGCACAGATTCAAAATAATTTTTTTATGATAGTTTTTTTTTTAAAGATATTTACATTTACATTATTCATTTGGCAGATGCTTTTATTTGATTTGTTTTATACATTTTCAAAAGTTTATGCAGTTTTGCTGCGAAAAAAAAAAAGATATTTAAAATACTATAAAACTATGGAAGCCCGTTTCCTCCAATATTTCCTCCGTCATGAACCTGCCTGCTAAGTTGTGGAATCTGCAGTACATATGTCATTTTAGTACGATGGTGATGTTAGCGGGTAAATTCGACCTGTAAATTTCATGGTTAAAATGGGTGCACAGATTCAAAATAATTTTTTTATGATAGTTTTTTTTAAAAAGATATTTACATTTACATTATTCATTTGGCAGATGCTTTTATTTGATTTGTTTTATACATTTTCAAAAGTTTATGCAGTTTTGCTGCGAAAAAAAAAAAGATATTTAAAATACTATAAAACTATGGAAGCCCGTTTCCTCCACTGAATAACAAAAAAAAAGGTTATTGCGACTTATCTCACAATTCTGAGAAAAAATTGCAAGATAAAAACTCAGTTTTTTCTCAGAATTGCGAGTTTATACTGTATCTCACAATTATGACTTTTTAACTCGCAATTGTGAGTTTATATCACGCAATTCTGAGAAAAAAGTCAGAATTGTGAGATAAAATAAAATTAGATAAAAAGTAAATTACCTTTTTTATTTTTTATTCAGTGGCGGAAACGGCGTCCATATAAAACACTAATATTCAATAATATAGAATATTTTATAATATAAATATTTTGTGAAAGTGACGTGATGACCCATGCTCAGAATTAGTGCCAGAATTGCGTGATATAAACTCACAATTGCAAGATAAAAACTCAGTTTTTTCTCAGAATTGCGAGTTTATACTGTATCTCACAATTATGACTTTTTAACTCGCAATTGTGAGTTTATATCACGCAATTCTGAGAAAAAAGTCAGAATTGTGAGATAAAATAAAATTAGATAAAAAGTCAATTACCTTTTTTATTTTTTATTCAGTGGCGGAAACGGCGTCCATATAAAACACTAATATTCAATAATATAGAATATTTTATAATATAAATATTTTGTGAAAGTGACATGACGACCCATGCTCAGAATTAATGCTCTGCATTTAACCCATCCTAAGTGCACACACACAGCAGTGAACACACACACACACCATGAACACACACCCGGAGCAGTGGGCAGCCATCTATGCTGCGGCGCCCGGGGAGCAGTTGGGGGTTCGGTGCTTTGCTCAAGGGCACCTCAGTCGTGGTATTGAAGGTGGAAGAGAGCACTGTACATTCACTCCCCCCACCTACAATCCCTGCCGGTACGAGACTCGAACCCGCAACCTTTGGGTTACGAGTCAGACTCTCTAACCATTAGGCCACGACTTCCCCACA